CCAAATAACCCTTTCTCTGCCTCTATCCACATGCTGCTCTGCCCATCAACAGGGAGAGCTTATTTTCCTCTCTTTCACTTTTTTTTTTTGTGGTTAATCCTCACCTGAGGATATTTTCCCATTGATTTTTTTTTAAGAGAGTAGAAGAGAGAGGGAAAGACAGATAGAAACATTGATGTGTGAGAAACACATCGATTGTTAGCCGCTTGCACACCTGACCAGGGTCCGGGCCAGGGAGGAGCCTGTAACAAAGGTACATGCCCTTGACCGGAATCATATGTGCCCAGGACCCCCACGCTCCCCCCCTTTTTAAAAAAATATTTTTATTGATTTCAGAGAAGGCAGAGGGAGAGATAGAAACATCAATGATGAGAATCATTGATGGGCTGCCTCCTGCACGCCCCCCACTGGGAATCGAGCCCACAAACCAAGCATGTGCACTTGACGGAAGACCCTTTAGTCTGCAGGCCAGTGCTCTATCTACTGAGCCAAACCAGTTAGGGCTCCCTGGCTTTCACTCTGGACTGGGCCTGTGACTCGTTGTGGGCACAAGTGATATTCAGGGACCTCTCATCACAGGTTTAAGAGGCCTGGCAGCTTCATTTCCTTCCTCTTAGAATACTAACTCTTGGATGCTCCCTCTTGGAAGCTAGCTTAGAAACCCAAGCCATCCAGACACAGGCCACGTGGAGAAAGGAGTTGCTCTAATCAACAGCTCCAGCTGAGGTCCCAGCTGCCAGACACCCGGTTGAGCCATCTTGAATGTTCCAGCCCAGGCAAGCCCCTAGGTGCCCTCAGCTGATACATGGAGCACAAGAATCTCCCAGCTGAGTCCAGTTAACTCAGGTCATTCTGTGAGTGACAATAAAATGGCTGTTGTTTTAAATCACTGAGTTACAGAGTGGTTTATTGTGCAGTAATAGATAACCAAAATAGCTACCCATCTGGCCACCTTTACATGACCCATGAGTAGGCTTGTACCCAATCTGACTCCGGTTAGAACCATGAAAAGAGCCTCGTTTCCTTTCTAGTGGCAAAGCCAGGAGGTGTGAGGCCCAGGAGCCTCCTCCATCCTGCAAAGAAAGCCAATTCCAAAGCAAGATGGCAGATAGAGAGAAGCATGGATGCAGTCAGGGAGCCCTGGACAAGCTTGAGTTTGATTCTAGTTGGCTCGAGGTCAGGCTGCCCAGCTCTCCTCCCATTTAACAAAACCTCCCCCTTTCACCCCAGCTAGTTTGAGTTGGGCAACTTAAATCAATGAACCCTGATTGAAATGCTGGCTCAGCATTCCTCAGAGCACCAAATCAACAATGTATATGACTACACCTGGCCTATGGCTGATTATAATACCATTTTACCCTGACCATATGGCAAACTATATAAAGTCTGACAGTATCAAGAATTGGGGAGGGTGTAGGCCAAAGTGGGAGTGCATTATTTTTGGAAAATAATTTGTTATTATCTAGACAGTTGGAAATGTGCCTACCCTACCAGACAGCAATTGTGTTTCTATGTACATACCCTAGAGGAACTTATCCACACACAAGAATATTCGGAGTAGCTTTGTAATAGCTTATCATAGTAAAAACTGGAAGCTATTTTAAACATCTAATATAAAGAGAATAGGTGTGTAAAATGCAGAATAACTGCGTACTGAAATGCCACCTTGGTTGTATTACTACAATTACTGGTTGCTTTACATGCAATAACATGAACATCACCAATATTAAGCAATAAAAAGAGCAAGCCACAGAAGAATTTATACAGTATATTCTATATATATTCTATAAAGCTCAAAATCAAGCAAGACTAAATAATATACAAAATATGAAGAAAAATTAAAAAGAAAAGCAAAACAAGACAAACTCAAAATTCAGGATGGTGGTTTTCTCTGAGTGAGGAAGAATCAGAAGAGATGAAAGTTACTTCAAAGTTACTGATGCCATTTTTCTTAAACTAAGTGGTAAGTATAGAATATTCAGTTATTAATTATCTTCAACCATACATACACTTTATATGTACTCCTGTATGCAGAGTTATTTCATAATAAAACTTAAAAAATTTTATTAAACTTTTAGAGTGGGAGGAAGGGAGAGAGGGAGGAGAGAGGAGAGAGAGAGAGAGAAAGAGAGAACTGTCACATGGATCGGTGCCTCCTGCACACACCCTGCCTGACTGGGGACCAAATCTGCAACTGGGGCATGTGCCCTGACATGGGAATCAAACTGGTGACCTTCTGGTGCCAGGAATGACACTCCATCCAACTGAGCCACACCAACCAAGTCCATAATAAAATTTTTAAATGAATTTTTAAAAGGAATATCTTACCAGATTGAGCTAAATACTATAATCCAACCATATGCCTACTACAAAGGACACATTAACCAAAATCACATAGAAAGGTTAAAAATAAAGGGATAAATAGACAGTTTATCAGACAAACATAGACACACACACAAAAAGACAGAAGTAGCACTGCTAATCTAATGTAATATAAATTAGAATTCAAGGCAAAAACCATAATAGTTTAGTGTGTTGTCTCATACATAAATATATGTAATCCACAATGGAAATGTTATCAGTCACCAACCACAATGAGACAAACAACCTAGCCTCAAAATACACAAAACAAAGAATAATAGAAAAAATCAAGGAAAATGACTGAAGCACAATTTATTTTTTTTAAATATATATTTTTATTATTTCAGAGAGGAAGAGAGAAGGAAAGAGATAGAAACATCAATGATGAGCATCATTGATTGACTGCCTCCTGCTCACCCCACACTGGGGATGGAGCCCGAAACTTGGGCATATGCCCTAACTGGGAATAGAATCGTGCGTGACCTCTTGGTTCATAGGTCGATGCTCAACCATTGAGCCATGCTGGCTGGGCTAATTTTAATATATAAATTTCACAGTAAAAATAAATTTTTGGGTGAACAGTTCTACTAGTTTTTGACAAATGCATAAAGTCTTGTAACCACCACCACAATCAAGATACAGAACAGTTCTATCACCCTTCAAAATGCTCTCGTGCTGCTCTTTGTGGTCATATCTCTACCCCACCTGGCTGCCCCCTCCTCTCCCCTCCCCTGCCCAATTCCTGGAAATTCTTTGATCTGTTCTCCATCCTTATAGTTTTCTTTTTTAGAATGTTCTATAAATGGAATCATACCATCTTTTGAGTCTGGCTCCTTTCACTCAGCATAATGCTTCTGAGACTCTGACAAGTTTTGCATGCATCAGTAGTTTATTCTATTTTATTGCCGAGTAGCATTCAATTGTATGGATGTACCACAATTTGCTTACCATTCATCCAGTAAAGGACTTTGGGGTTGTTCCAGTTTGGGGGGAGGGGATTATGAATAATGTTGTTATAAACATTTGTGTACAGGATTTTGTGTTAACATAAATTTCCATTTCTCTTGGGTAAAAACCTAGGGACAGCTAGGTCATATATAGAGTAAGTGCATGTTTAACTTTTATAAGAAACTGTCTGATTTCTTTTCCAAATGGTTGTACTATTTTGTGTTCCCAAACAGTAACGGAGCAAATTTCTTGTTGCTTTGCATTCTCACCAGCATTTGGTATTTGAAGCATAATCTTAACATCACTATCAATCAACACATCACTCACAATCAACTATAAAATACGGAGATATGGACAATATAATTACAACACAGCTAAGGTTGAATTGATAAATATTTCATGTCAAAATTTGCAGATGATAGTAAAACCATCTTCATTTCAAGAATCTGTGGAATATATAAAAATAGATCATATTCTAGTTCAAAAAACTTAAATACATTTCCCACATAGACTTAAATAGTGTAGAAACTTTACCACACTGTAATAAATATTGATATTAATAACACGTTTAAACAGCAACAAAGTCATATAGAAGTGACAAAACACTTGCCAAAATAATTACTGCTCTAAATCAAATAGGAATTTTAAAATTTAACTAAAGACTGTAAAAAATAAAAAGAAGAGGCCCATTCAACTACAAACTCGTAGGTTGAAATGTTTCATTACACACACACACACACACACACCAAAAAACATTTCCCTTATTAAGAGGAAAAAAGAATTCCCAAGGAAAACATAGGAAGGAAATGAAGATAACCAGAAATTGTGACTGTTTACTGTTCCTTTTCCCAGTCAACGAAGCTCTTAGAGCACAGGGTCATACTCCTATGTCTAAGGGTGAATAGTGTGCCTGGCTCACAGTATGAGCTCAATATTTAGCAACTTTTAACTTTCCTAAAGGTAGGCCTTCTCTCCTTTGGGCTTCCACAGTAGGCTGCTATCTTAGAGTTTATTAAAGTATTAGAACCACATACGTTTTCCACATCAAAAAAGTCCCCTAAAAACAAATATTTGTTTACCACTCAGAATGTACCGGGCGATTGGCATTAATCCCCTTAATCATTACAACTTTTTTTGGATATTCTTTTTCAGAAACTGAGGCTCAGAAAGGGTAAGTGACCAAGGTCATAGAGGAACTCATCACTCTATCCTGATTTGGTTGCACACCATTCTCCTTTCCCCCACACAAGCTCTTTCTACCGGAAAAGGTTACAGTGAATTGAGGGGCAAGGTTCGTTTGCCACCTTTGTAGCCACAGCTCCGAACCTAGTTACTGGCACAGAGTATCCCAGACAATTAGGCATTACTTGCGTCCTGTTGTTCGTAAAGATTTGTGGGCCACAGAGAGACGCGCTAATTACCAGCCCGCCACCGAGACCTGGAAAGAAATCTGGAATAATTCAGGACTCTCCTAGCCTCCCAGCTCCATGGTTGGCTTGTAACCACTCTATATTCTGGCGGACTCAGCGAGCACGGCCAATCATTAGGACACTTTCCAGGCACGTGGCCGGAAGTTTGACTTGCTATTGGTTAATAACAGTAGGGCCCGCCCAAGCACCCTGCCTGCTTCTTTAAGTAGAAGCCGTGGGCACGCCTCCGTCTTTCGGCGGCTGTAAACTGGCGAGGTGAGGTTGTCTGTGCGGTGAGTTGTGGCGGGTAGGCCTCGGGTACTCGGGCCCCGGAGCCGGGTGGGAGGCGAGTGGCCAGCGGTGATGACATATCAATCAAAGCACGTGTTAGACTGCTGACAAGGGTGATGCGAACTAGAGTCTGAGCCTGGCCGCCGGCGGGGCGAGGAGGGAACAAGGCGGCGGGGGCGCGCCCGCTTACCCCCTGCTCTCGTTGCAGGTCCGGCCGGCCGAGGACGTCGGATCCGTTGCCCTCCCAGCTATTCGACCCTTCCCTGAAGGCTCTCAATAAAACAGATTGTTCCTACCGCTGGTGTCTGTGTTTCTTGTCGTGACGCGCTGCCTTTGAGCCCCCGCTGCGCCTGCGTGTGGCGCCGGGGGTCAGGCTGCAGCGCCAGAGCAGCTGCTTGCGCATAACTGGGGCCTACGGCGCTCTGCCGGCGGCCCTTTTAACCGCGAGCGACACGGCCGCACGCTCTGTCGGGGTCGGGTTTTCCGGGGGTTTGGACTGACCCAGCCTTTAGGCTGAGGTTGAAATGCCCTAAGGAGACATTGGGGATCCTGTAGGCTCTGCTACCGAGTGCCCCCCCCCGCCCCGGCATTTCCCGTGGTTGCCCTGCAGTCCCGGCTCTCCGTCAGTGAGACAGACATGCACGTGAAGTTAACCGCGGTGTGCGTGGCGGTAGAGAAAGAGACGGGCTGTGGCCTTGAGCAGCTTAAGGGCGTGGTGTATTCGATAGGAACCGGCTTCAGTCGTGATGTGGAAGGATTTAATCTGGCTAAGGTGTAAATTTAAGGACCAACTGCTTGTTTGAATGGTGTGGGGCTAAAGCGTTGGGTGAAAGTGTCCAGTCCAGTTAGCCTAAACAGCTTACAACAGTGTAGCTGTGAAGGTTAGATTTTTATGGTTTACTGGGCACAACATGGGCACCTTGATAATTGCACAGTCATTCCTTTGTAATCCAGATTTTTAAAAAAATACATTTTATTGATTTTTCACAGAGGAAAGAAGGATAGAAACAGATCAGCTGCCTCCGGCACACCTACTGGGGATGTGCCCGCAACCAAGGTAATGCCCTTGGCTGGAATCGAACCTGGGACCTTTCAGTTCACAGGCCTACACTCCATCCACTGAGCCAAACCGGTTAGGGCTGTAATCCAGATTCTAATTGAACAGTCTAAGCTGCATCACTTCTGAGTAGGAGGAAGCACAGGTGCAGAGTAAACTGCATTGGCACCTGGAGGGGGCCCCAAGAAACAGACTACTAGGCAATACAGTTCAAAACTGTTCCCCTCAGATTAAATGTGGATTAAGGATAATAGCACTTAACTCATGTCGGGTGTGGTGAGTGACTACCTGGGATCCTTAAGAATGCTGGTCCAGTGATCACCCAGGAAATAGTGCCCACGTGTCCCTATTTAATTAGGATTTAGTAGAAATAACAGATGCCTTTATCTAGTATTTGACATGAGATTTATTTTGTGAAAGAATGCAAGCAATTTTAAGTCCCCCATCTAATATTTTAAGTGCAATAGGGTACAGTCATGTGTCATCTCTTTACAATACACAGTAGTGCATCTAGTCTTCTGCCTTTAGTTATTGCACAGAAATGATAAAGACCAGTGAACAAGACATGCGGACTGACTGGCAAACTGGCCTACACAATGAGAAATTGGAACAGCACACTGACTGGGATGGTCAAATTTAAGTCAAATGGTTAATGGTCCAATTAAAGTAATCAAGTAAAGGTTCAGGTATTTTTTTCAATATATCAATTTCTTTAAAGTCATGTTCAGGCAGGGTGCTGTTTAAAAAAACACTATTAGTACACAAATTATCAAAAGTTACCGAAGGTAATTTTGATGTTGAATGCAGCTTTAAACAAATTTTAAATTCTCAAAGCAAATTATACAATTAGGGCCTCCACACTTGTAAACGAAACATTCTGACACAAATGCACAAATTAAAGTTGGCAACGTTGAAGAAATGTCACATTAATTTTGAGATATGTAGTGTTTGATGAGCAGGCTTTTGGTCTTGACTCGTGATAACAGATGTTAAGTTTGGGTCATCAGAAAAGGAAACTGACCACAATAGATCCCAAACTAGATGAGCAAAGCCTTTGCATACCTATGTAAAGTTTCCTGGAGCACACTAGAAGACGGTGACCTGGTCATGACGTGTTTAACGTTTTCATGTGCTGTCAGGAAATTATTTGGGATTAGAACCAGGTGGTTATATATCATTGGTAAAAGGCTTGGGATAGTTTGATATTGTGTCAGTGTATGTTCTATGGCTACTTGCTTCCAAGACAAATTAATATGAAGAAAAGTAAGTTGCTATGCATATCTTTATCACCAATGAAATCGTTTACAAAATTCCATTCCCCACCCTCCACATGGTACCACATTGACATTCTCAAAATGCGGAGGGCTGCATCACATAAACTAGGAGAAAATGTTCCACTTGTGCTCTGGCTGCCTGAGGAAAAGCTTTGGAGTTGAGACAAGGGGAAGAAAGCCTTCCAATTGTAGCTTTGCTCTTAATGTGCTCTTGCTGCCACAAAAACTGGTCGACTCAAAGCCATGGTATGAGTCGCAAAACCTCTGGATCCACCTTGATTCTTCCAATCTCCTTTGAGTCAAAGTTTTGCAGTAGGCAATCCAGACACCAGTTGCTGGATGCATGGAATGACACCTCACAGTGGAATGGGCACTGGCAGGCAGAGGGCAGAAGCTGTGGTGAGGAAAGGCCTGTGTTACAGCAGACAGGCAGCCAAGAACCCCACACCTGGATCTAGATCTCAACACTGGCAATGTCAGGTCTTTACCCATCACAGCTGGTCAGCAGCCTCCACGAGTGGGTCTTTCAGGAGGCAGGAAGTGGAGCGAGGGTCCATGGCTGAGTGCATTATAGGGATATACACATCATCCATGTTTGGCATGACAAAAACTTTCTGTAGGAAGAAAGAACAGCCATGTAGAAAATGTTTTGTTTTTTCACTTTTCTTTTTGGTGATATTAAACTTTCCAGAAATCGGTTTTGTTATATTTAATCTATAGCTTTTAAGTAATAAAAAGCTTCAATGGCAGTAACTCAAAACTTACCACTACAAAAATACATGTATTTTACAGGTGAAACTCAGTACAAAGTAAATAAGTTGCTAATAGATAAAACCTTGAGAGACAACTGTGCCTCAAATATCTGATTAAAATTGGATAAAAATAGCTCATCCCAGGGCCTGGGCTACATTGCTATTAACTTTTGGTGGAGAACGCAGAAGACAGGCTTGGAGAATGAGCTCTTGGGAAACTCCAAGACTGCTCTAGAAGATCCACAGGGGAGGGACAGGTCTGGTGCATCTGTAGACTCCCGGGACAGGGATAGCTGTTCACAGAAGGGTTTCTAAAGAATGAACAAACTGAGCAAAGTGGGTATCACACAGAACGGGAGCAACTTTGCTGACCATGGGTGTGTGCTACTAGCTGGCCAATTTCAGGGCCCACAAAATCCAAAGATGGACCCAGCAGGCAAAGGGCTTAACCTTCGCCAAGCCTACTGGTAGAAGAGGATCATTTTGTTCTTTGGCCCTACCTTTTGGGTTTCCCTTTTGAAGACCACTTAACAGTGTGCTGTGGATGAGTTTCAGAGTTTCTGAAACCACCTGACGTTTACACCTGTTTGATCATATGTGTACTTTCCTGGGATGAGGCTCCTCAGAGGAGGATCCTGACCCACATGAAGTTCAGAGCCTCTGTTCTCTACCCAGAGCTAGCCTCGGTGTGCAACACGAGATGACAGTGCAGGTGTACCTGAAACTCTTGCTCCAGTTTCTTCTCTATCCAGTCTGTCACATGAACTAAAGTCACTTCTCTCTCTCCAAGTTTTGGCCGAGCTTTCAGCTCCACATATGGTGGCTTCCGGAAACCATACCTTTTTTTACAAAGACAAATAATAACCACATTTAGAAACAAAGAAAGGAAGCAGACAAGTACCAACAGCACACATTCCTCATTTACACAGGCCTTTACCACTATTTAACCATTCTTATTCTGATAATCCCCTCTGGAAAGTAATTCAGCACAGTAACTATGATCTGAACTCCCTGTGTCCTGAGCCATGTGTAGGGCTGTGATGATCTGAGAACAGTTCTGACAAATGGCAAGCCAGGAAGCCCCAAAGGAAAAGTCAGTGACCTGGGCTTGGTTCTCCTAAAATGGGAACAACCTTTTTGTCTATATATATATATATATATATTATAAAACCCAAAATATACAAGTGTATAAAGCAGAACGTGAAAGTGGCTTTCTGAATTTCACTCCCAAGATGGGACACTGAGAGAAGTGGTCATGTTCCTCACACCTAATAGGCATGTGTAAAGAGAACATTCCATAGCCTTTTTCATTCCACACTTCCTACCACACTTACTATGGCTTCTCCAGGGAGCAGACTGGTACTCAGAACTTGGTAAAGTATCCAGACAAGAGACTATGTGCTATCAAACTATCTAAAAACTTCAATTTGTCATGGACCAATGTTTTAAAAACTACAATAAAAATGTCAAGTTGCTATAAATGTCCTAAACATCCTAAATATCTAGACTTATCTTTGTGGATCATTAATAAATGGTTCAGCATTTGAGCATGCATCCTAGAGGCCTTCAATTTTATCTCCCATTGAGCAGTGGCATTTATAACTGATAAAGCTTAGAAGGGAAAGAAATGTTACCAACTCTTAGTATTTAAAAGCATTTTAAATTAGGTTTGGAAGACTGTACAGAAAGGTATTAACTGGTTATGTTTGGATGATAAGATTATAGGCTTTTTTCCCTATGAAAATATTACTTTATTAATAACATCTAAAATGACATTTTAAAGTTTTTACTGGGAGACACCGATAAATCATTAACTGACGAGTCAATTAAAAAATCCTCTGGATCATCCCCACAAACTCTCCTGAACACAGGATGTGTACTACTAGCATGTTCGTTTCACTCTATGATAGAGTTTTTTCATTCGAGTGTAGTTCATGGTACCATGGGGTCTCTTATGCAATCCTGTATACACTTACATTTTATAAGCCATGGAATGTCAATTTTAAATTAAGATTCACAGAGTGATTTTCTTCTGCTGGACCCATGAGTAAGTTATTTCAGTGATTCTCAATCCTGGCCAGTTCCTAAATCCCTCAATCCTGGGCACTGGGCTGGCAATATCTTTAACAAATCCCTCTGTAACTGTGATATATAGGTGGGTTGAGAACCACTGGTTAATTCAGTTACAACTCCTTGAAGAGACCTCCTAGCACA